AAAACCTGAGTTCAAATGCTGACTCTCCCATTTTGGTATCTGTATGATTTTACTTTAGTTATTCAACTCCTCTGTTTCCCAATTTTTGCATCTGTAAATCAGACATAATAGTACCTTGTAAATTCGTTTTCTGGATTGAATCAGTTAATATATCAGAAACGCTTAAATGGAGCCTGACAAATATCAAATGCTCTGTACGTATTTGCTGTCACCTTCATTCTCATCACTGTAACCATTACGATGGGAAACTACACAGGAATTTTCAGCAGGGGAAACACTGGCTGCTAGGGAGCACATTGTATCTGTTTGTAAAGAGGGTAAGACAAAGTATAAACAAAGTACAGTTAGGGATCAGCACTTTTAAATGAATCTGCATCACCTGAGTGTTGTAAATTAGAAGTCTAAATTTGGTTGTTACAAGAGCAGTAAAACAAAATGAAGTTAAAAAAAAATCATACTTTTACAAATGAAAATCCTGAGTCAACCAATAGAGAGACTAATGTTCCAGAAAAACAGGGGCACAAAAAATAAGACAAATAGGAATGTTTTATTATTTGATATTACAGCAAAAGAACTACAACTTCGTGGAAAAACTGTCATTCAACTTTCTTACACACATCTTACAATTTAATTTTATTACACATGGGAAGGTGGAGACAGAATAGCTCCACGATTTTTATTGCTTTGGTCACTGAAGGTTTTAATCCAACCCTAGTTCTGAAGTTATCCTGTGATTCCTGATGAGGAAAAATAAAAGTCCATCACACATTTTCTCATTTAAAGTATATCACACCCATTGCTGTGCATGGACCTTCATGAATCATAGGGAAGAAAAGTATCAGCTGAGAGTTGCAACTATTGAGTATCCACGCATCATTCACTTTTTTCCATCCTTAATAATTAAAAACTCATTATGTCGGCAATTTTGTTCATGATGTTATTTTCTTTTTGTTGTTGTTATACTTTAAGTTCTAGGGTACATGTGCAGAACATGCAGGTTACATAGGTATACGTGTGCCATGGTGGTTGGCTGCATCCATCACCCCGTCATCTACATTAGGTATTTCTCCTAATGCTATCCCTCCCCTAGCCCCCCACCCACCAACAGGCCCCAGTGTGTGATATTCCCTTCCCTGTGTCCATGTGTTCTCATTGTTCAACTCCCACTTACGAGTGAGAACATGCAATGTTTGGTTTTCTGTTCTTGTGTCTGTTTGCTGAGAATGATGGTTATTGAATCACATTTTCTCTATTGTTTTAGTCTACTTGTGCTACTCTAACAGAATAACTGAAACTGAGTAATCTATTAAAAAATAACAGAAGCTTGTTTCTCTCAGTTCTGGAGGCTGGGAAGTCCAAGGTCAAGGCACTGTCATCTGCTGAAGGCCTTCTTATTACACCCTCACACAGTGGAAGGTGAAATAACAAGAGAGGTTACTGCTGTGTCCTCATGTGACAGAAGAGCAGAAGAAGAGCAAGTGAGCCAAATGCTCTGGGAAACTTCCTTTATAAGGGCCACAATCCTAGGAATGATGGAGGAGCTGTCATGGTCTAATCACCTCTTAAAGGCCCCATAAAAATATTGGCTACACCTGAGTTTTGGAGGTGACACGTTCAAACCATAACATCTGTTGAAGTAATTATGTTTTCATCTAGGAGTTACTTGAAAGGATAATTCATTTGTACAAATTAATAAGTAGGCTGGGTGCAGTGACTCACACTTGTAATCCCAGCACTCTGGGAGGCTGAGGTGGGTGGATTATGAAGTCAGGAGTTTGAGATCAGCCTGACCAACATGGTGAAACCCCGTCTCTACAAAAAATACAAAAATTAGCTGGGCATGGTGACACATGCCTGTAATCCAAGCTACTCAGGAGGCTGAGGCTGGAGAATTGCTTGAACCCAGGAGGTGGAGGTTGCAGTGAACCAAGACCACACCATTGCACTCCAGCCTGGGTGATGAAGCAAGACTTTGTCTCAAAAATAAATAAATATATAATAAGCGTAAATATTACAGTCAGCTAACTTGGAGGAACAGCGTTTGAATTCAGCTATTTCTAAAATATAAATAAATACATTTTATATTTTAGCAATGTTTAAGAATGTAACCAACAGCAATTTGCCTAATTAATCTGTCTCTTCTTCACTCACAAAATGTACAAGTGTGGCTGCTTGTATGACTGATACCATGCCTGTTTTAACCATCCAGTTTATTTTTACACCATCCAATTTAATTTATATCATCCATAGTCCGTTAATGAAGCGGTACATCACAGCCTGTGACATCTGGCAGTGTAGCAGGCATCAATAATCAGTTACTCATGTGGCTAATTCTTGCCATACCCTCTCCACAGAAAGTAGAGACAAAAGGAAGGTGATACTTAATTTACAGCAAGAAGAAAAGCCATTTAATAAGATTAATTAGCATCTCCCTTTCATCCCCTTCCTCTTACCCGCACTTCTCAATAACCCCCAGTGTCCCCCGCAACACACACACACCAGAAGTGACAGGGCTTGGCAATTATGCTGAATACAGAAGCAATTTTTTTTCTTTTTGAGACAGTTTTGTTCTTGTTGCCCTGGCTAGAGTGCAATGGTGCAAATCCGGGCTCACTGCAACCTCTACCTCCTAGGTTCAAGCAATTCTCCTGCCTCAGCCTCCCAAGTAGCTGGGATTACAGACATGTGCCACCACGCCTGGCTAATTATATTTTTAGTAGAGGTGAGGTTTCTCCATGTTGATTAGGCTGGTCTTGAACTCCCGACCTCAGGTAATCCACCCCACAAAGTGCTGGGATCACAGGCGTGAGCCACTGCGCCCAGCCTACAGGAGCAAATTTTTAAATGACCTGATCAGTTTGACTGAAGAGGAGTGTGATCCACAATGCTTCCATTCTCAGGGAGGAAGGAGTTTCAACCGATATAAATGCCACCAATAAGATAAAGCAAAAACAACATGGTCCCTTCACCAGCTGCTCCACCCTGTTTCTACCTGGACAGTGGAGATGCTGTAGGGTCAGCTAGTGAGGCACTTTTTGCAGGTAGAATTGTTCAAGTTGCCCTTCTGAAAGGTCAGTGCTAGGTAGCAGTGAGTACTCCCTGGCTTTCCCCTTTAGTCATATTTAAATTTTACTTGGCTCATAGCACGCAAGTAATGACTCTAGTCTTTATATTTACATAACATCCTTGTAAATAATGAAAATCAGCATGTAATACTCTCAGGTGAACCATGTTTTTAAATAAATGAAAATTGAAAATAGATTTTATTTCTCACTCAAATGGTTGCTGTACTCTGGTACCTTATTATATCACCAGCATTATTGGAGCCAGAGGGGTATTATCTAGTGGAAAAATTTCAAGCTCACTCTCAAGAAATTTGTGTTCTATTCCTACACCAGGCAGCAAAGATGACAACGCTGTGGGACATTTACTGAAAGACACTGTTCTAAGTACTTCACATGTATTATTTAATGTACACAAAATCAATGTGAGCTAAGTCATCTTATTATTCCCATTTTATATAGGAAGTAACTGGGACACAGAGCAGGTAAACAACCCACCCAAAATCAAGCATTACTAAGTAGTAGAACCCAGGATTCAGCCAGGACACTCAGACTCCATTGCTTCCCATGCACAGAAGCTACGGTGAGTTTTAAAATATATTTGTAGCATAAACAACAACCAACCAGAATTGATGCTAGTCTTGGCTCAGGAACAGAGCCCAAGAAGCTCCTCGTGCAAAGGTTTTAACAGTTGCTGAAGCACGGAGAAGAAACGGCAGTCCTGGTGTGGGACCAGAGCAGCAGGAGCAGACAGAGACACATTTGGCAGGGTCTACAGCAACAGCTACCTTCAAATCTATACAGAAATTTCTCAGTATTTTAATAAGAGACAGAGCCATATTGGTGATACAAAGTGAATATCAACCCTATGATATGTGCACCACAAATTAATTTATCAACACAGATTCTAGTAAGAATCTAGCAACAAATAGAAGCAATAGTCAAATTCAGGCAATACCTTTTAGTTTCACTGACTGCCTCTTTTTGGCCTCAAGCACATGAGAATGTGTTCATTTGCAATGTCAAAGTTGTTGTCATCTTAAGAAGGTGACTGATCATATGTGAAACACGAGATAGTATGTCAGGATCTGCATTCATTCTAATACCTTTAAAAAAAAGCATATAGCTAGAGAATATATTACGTAAACCCTATTTGGAAAATTTCAAGATCTTTTAAAAATATCTGAACTTTGATAAAATCACAAAGGAATAAAAGACATGCTCGGGAATGACTCATAGTAGCACAAAAGTTATTTAGCTATATAAGGAAGTTTCATGTTTGAAGAATATTCACTTCTGCCACTGATCAATGGAGAAAAAAAGTGCGTTCATTTGCTCAGAGCAGAATATGCCCCCAAATAGCAAACCAGGTTTTATATAAGTCACTTTTCAAGTTAGCTAAGATTTTGTCAATCATTTGAAGGGTTTTAGCTTAGGGATAAATTTGAAGCTGTTATTTTTCTGGTGAAGCCAGCAATAGGAAAATGTATGCTGAGGAAAGGAAAGAAACTAGAAAATTCAGCTAACTTAATATAAATCTAACATTTGCTATCGCATTGAATAATTACTTTTTTCAGATCCCTTTGAAGATGAAAGGTTTTGTATTAAAATTTTTTATTACCCAGCTATCATGAAAAAACAAATCCCTACAATGTCTGTGCATTTCTTGTTTTAAAATACGCAAGTGATCTGTTGCCTATCTTTATAACAGTGGTTTCTGTTCCAAAGAGTCTTAATCTGGAAAATATATGACATAAACTTAAACAACTGAGAATATTTTAAAATGAGCTATTCAAAAAGACATGCCATTGATACTGTTCGATGTCATGGTAGTTTGTCCACTTAACAAAGAGAAAGGCAGTGTTATGTTGTGTATAGCTATGGTAACTTGGGCAGATGACTCACTCAAAGCCTTTGTTATACTATTTATGACTCACACTTAGTAATGCTCACCCAATTACCTTTCCTAGTATATCTTCATCATGTTAAAGTGTTTGAGAACTGCTTTGGAGATTCTATTAAGTCCAAATGAGCATTAAAAAGGAGAGAGAGAGAGGAAGAAGTATCTCTTGAGAAAGGTGAGTCCTTCCTATAAACTCTGGGTTTCATTATGGGCTTGCAAGCAGTACTAGAATCTGGTGTAATACATGATGACCAGATCTATTTTGTATTCAGGGAAGTCAATGAGCTCTCTAAGTGGCACGAAGCTAAGTACACCCACATAGTTTCTGAGTACATCAGTTCTTCAGTGTACATTAAACCTCTCCAGATTTATCCACAGAGGATGGCTGTTTGCCAGAATTCAGACTCTGTTCTGTTATGCAGTAGGCTGAGTATTCCCAGGTGCCAGTAGAGTTTTATGCCTAGTCCTCATTTAGTTTTTCTTAGGATTGCTTTGAAGTGTGAACAATCAAGTTGCAGCATGCTGCAAAGTTCTTTCCACATGAGCCCTTTATTTCACTTTCTATTACAGCTCTGAAGCCTTCTCAAAACATATTTATCTAAAACTATTACAATGCATTTGGGATAAATTTCTTATAAATACTTTGTACATAATTTTATTCTCTTCATTAATAAGATAAAAATATAAACAACCAATAGTATTCTTTCTCTACTACTCCTCTGCAAAAGTAGTATTTAGCAAGGCATTTGACTATTAATTATTAAAATTTACAAAATATTCTGTGGCTTGATACTTACAAGATGGGACCTGCAAACACCTTGTGTATAATCAGCATTGTGTATTATTTGGAATTCCTAACAAAGCTTCTAATACTTCTAATACTGATATGATAACCAACTTGTAGCACTAAATATCACCTTTTTGGAGAGGAAGTATCTATCATAGCTTCATATAAACCATGCTTAACATCCTTTTTCCTAACAACTATCATTTTCAGATATTCCAAACTAAATGCAGATTTTTTTGTTTCCAAGCTCTATTTCCTTTAAGATCAAAAGCTCTGACTTGAATTGTGTACACGGAGGCCAAAAAGCAGCCCAACACCCCAATACTCTTTCCAAAGACCACTCAGAGGTGACCAAAGACTCAGCATCTGTGGATAGCCATTTGAAAAGCCTAGTGGGGTGAAATAACCCCAGCAAAAAAAGGAAACAAGGGGCTTCCCCAGATGCTGGGTAATGAATGCATTTTTCAAATTTATAAAGAACTTGGCTTTCCCATTTAAAAGATGCTTTATGCCAGATACATTTCATCTTTTTAACCCTGGATTTTGTGTGTGTTTGCCAAAATGTCACAGTCTACGTGACTTTTAAATGGCCTAGTAAGTGGTGGAGACAGGGTGGTACTAGTGAGTTGGATAACTACATTAAAGGGTTGCACCTCTGTGTTATGCTCTTCCAATTTGCAGCTCTAACAAACTTTGACTTATGGTGCCAAGAGGGCCCTGTGTGGATGACTTCTGTTCCTTTCAGAACTTTTAATCCTTATTTTTAAATGTCACAATTCTAAATGATTTTTTCAGAATTAGCCCCAGAAAAACGGTTTCTGGGAAGACTGTGGCAGTGATCCTGAGCCCACTTGCACTTGTGGTTGATGGCACATTAAGCAATAATGCTGATAATGTGCAGCGATCAGTACCTATAGCATTTTCACCTGACCTCAAGATAAGGTTAATGCAGAAGATAAATAGAAGGGAAGCACACGCTCCACTTTTCCATCAGGCTGTTACATAAATAACAGATAAACATGCTTCTGTTCACACCACATCAGAGCGGAAGAAAATGCTGCCAACTTCAAGCCAACAACGACTTAAAAATGCTGTTGTCAAATCAATTTTTTACAGCAGACTGACCTGTTTGCAGACCATTTTTAATAGCAGAAGAAGAGTTTAGGACTTGGACTTGGAGTACACAAGTGATTTCCAAATGACATTTCAGATGTAAAATTTCAGTCTGCCAGCCTTTCTCTCCCTCTCGCCCCATCCACCCCCACATCCATATACATGCACACACGCCCCATCAACTTCCACTGACATTTCTTCATTACCATGAAAAAGCTCAGGCAGTCTTGGGGGATTTTGCAAAGCATCATTCCTCTTTTATACCCAGGCTCTCACTGATACCTCTACAAATGGTTTTCAAAATTTTATGCCCCAACAGGAGGTAGAGTTTGAGTTTTTAAAGTTGTAGAGACAGTGGCTTCTAAGTTTATTCCTTTGACTTCTCTGGTCATTATCACCCACCTAGTGTGTTCCCATCTCAGGAGCTAAAATGCCAAGTGACCTTTTTGGGTGAATGGTCACAAAAACTCATGGGCACATTTAATAGCAAGAAATGTGGGCTCAATAACATGGTGTGAGAAGATTGTCAGGAGTGTGTTCTTTTTTTTTTTTTTTTTTTTAATCCAAACACAGCCTCTGTAGATTTTTTTGAATGTTCAAGTTACACCTTCCTCTTCAAATGATAAAAGAATTCAGTGTGAAATTTGCTTTCATAAACTTTTGTGAAAGGTTCTGTCGTTCTCATATAATACTTCAGGAGTATATATAGAGAACACATTCAACTGTTTCCCTTGATGCCTTAATGATCGAATCAGAGGAAAGGGCTGTATGGGTTCGTTCTTATTTCTTACTCAATTCTGTCCTCTGTACCACATGAGCTTGGATTATATGGACACCACTTTCTTCAGTAAAAATAAAAGCATGGAGTTATTTTTATTGTAAAATGTAGTACCACGGCAGCCAGTAAAAGTGTTGTCCACAGAAATCTGCCATTGCAAAATCAGGAATTTTGTAAAATGACAGTACTATACTGAGAAGTTCAAGTGGCAAATAGGGATGGTGTTTTTTCAGTTCAACATCCAAATCTATTAGGCTGTGGGATAAGCATTTTGTTCAGAATATTTTTACTTGCTTTCAAGATATGAGAGGCCAGATCAGAACTACATGACATATATACATATATATGTATATATATTCATATATATGTATATAGATATATATGTATGTCATATATATATCTATGTCATGTCATATATATATCATGTCATATAGTCACGTCATATAGATGACTATATCTGTCGTCATATATACGACTATATATGTCATGTCATATATATGACTATATATCATGTCATATATATAGGTTTGGATGAGCTGAAAAAACATGTCATGTCATATATATGACATGACATATGACATATAGATATGACATGACATATACATGACATATAATCTCTATAGATATAATCTATATAGATTATATATATAATCTCTATAGATATAATCTCTATAATCTATATCTATATATAGATTATATCTATAGAGATTATATATAATCTATATCTATAGAGATTATATATATATAAAATCTATCTATATATATAATCTATATATATGTCATGTGGTTCTGACCTGGCCTCTCATATCTTGAAAATAAGTAAAAATATTCTGAACAAAATGTTTATCCCACAGCCTATTTGGATGCTGAACTGAAAAAACATGTCATATGTGTACATATATATGTGAGTCACATATATATACATTACATGACATATATATGACATGACATATATATAACCTACATTAGCCTAAAGCTGCCTCCTTTGATATTTTAGGTTCAGCCTAAAAGTTTCTCCATATGTAGCGAACTGATACCTAACTGGATATGTAATCCAACTAACCTGCTCTTATGTCAATCTCTGAATTTTGGCCAATTAAAGGTGGCCAACTGTTCAAACCATGTACAAATGCGGCAAATGCTGAGCCGTAACCAATCCACTGTTTCTGTACCTCACTTCCATTTTCTGTGCATCAATTTCCTACTTCTGTCCATAAATCTTCAACCATGTGGCTGCACTGGAGTCTCTCTGAGCCTATTCTGATTCAGGAGGCTGTCCAATTTATGAATCATTCTTTGCTCAATTAGACTCTTTTAAATTTAATTTAAGCTTTTTATTTTAACATTATATTGTGACAATATAAGCATTTCCATTAAAAGACCTTTTTCCCCTTGTAGGATGTATTAATGTCCAGTAAAATTTGGAGATATTGAAAAGTTAGCACATAGCCTTGTAACTATATTTATTGCTGAAAAGTCCTCTTGGCTGTTTTTAAATTATAGTATTTCAACCACACAAAAATTGGGGTTTTTTGCTATTTTATTTTATATTTTTGGCCTCATATGACTCAAGAACAGCTTCATTTTTAACCGTTAGCCCATGATGTTGGCTGGTGCCTTTAGGCAGTTCAGGGATAAAAATAAAATAACCAAGTTATTTTGTTTAGAAAAGCCACTTCTGCACATTTGCTGTATTTTTTTCAATAAATATTTCATAACTTTTGAAACATGGCCTTATCCTTTAGCACATATGGGAGGCAGCTGAATCTAAACCAAGTAGATATTCTAGAGCTCAGATTCCATTGCTCAGGACCCAGATCTACTTTTCTGAAGTAGCTCAATAAAGAGATAGGCATGGCAATCCCCTAATATCAGAAATTACTAATAGACATTTTAAATTAAAAAAAAATAAATTATTGTGTATTCTATATATCATGCTTCAGGGAAAGTCTGAAATGCTTCTGTTTGGCTGGCTGGGATATGTCTCTCAGTTTCCATTTCACTAAGCCATATTTCTAAATTATTGGACCAGCCCATCCACCTGGCAGTAAAGCACATCATTCTTATCTTTCTAGATTGCGCCAACATGGGAAGATAGTGGGCATGTACAGAAGATGTTTGTTTAAAAAAGAAAAAGAAAAAAGAAAAAAAATGTGTACGTGTGTGCATATATAAAAAGAGATAGACAAAGCAAATATAGTGAAATGTTAAATTTTAGTGTTTCTGACTAAAGAGTACACAGTGGTTATTTGTGCTATTCTTGCACTATTTCTGTAAGCTTGAAATTATTCCAAAATAAAGGTTAAAATATAAAAAAAATAAAAAATAAGAATGAGAATCAAAGCTCCAATAATAAAATGTGATTTCTGAAAGTATCAAAGAAAAATTGCACCAGCCAGAATTAAACAGAGAAAGAAGACTGTATTCAAGACTATTGCAAAACGGGTCAAGAATATTGCAATTGGAGAGACTAAACTCAACTTCATTGAGACAAGAA